AATTAAAAACTATCTTGAAAGGCCCAGGGCAGCACGCGGCACCCGTAGACGCGTTGGAAGAAGCAGTTCCCTTTAGGGAGACAGCAGAACCAGTTAGGCCCACAGGGTCTGGAATGCGACTGTCTGCCACTTCCTGGGTGGTGACCTCAGACCAGGTATCCCAGCTCACCTGGAAATGGGGACAAGGACAGCATTGCCTATTCCAGGGCTGTAATGTGTGGAGGGTCACATGGGAAGTACACTAGGGGACCAGGGAGAAGTTAGCAGTAATTACCCACATGCCAGGCCAGCCCCTCATGCCGGACTAGCCTTCCTGGGACCCCGGCCTAACCCCAGCCTTAATGCCCTGCGCTGTCCCACCCCCTGTGCCATGGAGGTTTCCAGTCTGGCAGGTCCCCTCACCCGCTAAGGGAGTCATTTCTCTCCCCTGCCCTGTATTTTTACATCCTTTAGCCAGCGGACTGAATCTTCCCTTCTCTGCAAATCCATACTTTGCCAAGCACACCTCCCCCTGGGGAAGGCTGAGCTCTGGCTGGTAGGAGAGTGGAATGAGAACTAGTGTGTGGAGCGGGGTAGTCAGGAAGAGGTGGAGACAGAGATGCAGGTGTGGGCTTGGGGTGAGAAAGAGCTTCCCAAGGCTCGCGGTGGTGCCAGGACAAGGGCTCTTGCTGTTAGAGAATGCAAGCAAAGACGATCAGCTTGGGGGTCAGCCTGGATTCATCCAAGGGCTTTTCTTGCAAGGTCTACTTAGGGGCACAAGTCCTTCAGGATTTCCTTGCAGAGGATCACGGTGGCATCCCGAAGCAGGGGGCAGCGGGACTCTGTTTTAAATCCCTGCCCCTTGGAAATCATCTTGGGCACCTTTAGGACAACCCTCAGCTTACAAGCATGAGGTCTGTGGGTGATGTTGGTGTTGGGATGGGCTGAGCACCAGCACAGGGGGCCACAAGGTTTTGAGTCCTAGAGACACTAACACTGGGTTTCTAGTGACCTCCTTCCTCCTCTATGACTCGCTGAGCAGGAAGAACTTGCTTTTAAGACAGTAAGAGGCATGTCCTAAAAGACAGGGACCCTCATATCATGAAAGGGGGTGCATATAAAGAAGGACCCTGTCCAGGGAAGCCCCTCATTCAAGGCTCACACTCCCTGCAGCTTGCTCTACAGCCCCAACACGACACAGGCAGGAAAGCTCTTTGCAAGGAGATCAAAACCACGGATAATATTGACGCTTGATTCCAGGGTTCCTGGAGAGATCTGAATATTAGATCTTAAGGGACCCTGTTAATTTTGTGAGTTGTGATTGATGGTATCATAGTTATAGAGAAAAATGTCCTTTGGTTTTTTGAGATTCATTGTAAAATTATTTGGGGTAAAAGGTCATGATGTCTATAATTTATCTTAAAAATACTTCAGCCAACACACACACACACACACACACACACACACAGAAATGATGCAAATATTAATTAAGGCTAAAGATTGTTAAGGCTAATAACGGTCAAACCTATGAACTGGGAGGGATGAGTGCTAGAAATTCCTATGCTGCCATTTTTCTGATGTCACTGCAAAAAATAGTCTTTCCATGTTTGTTACGCTATTCTTTACATTTTTACACGTGTCTGAAAATTTCCCAAAGGCCCCCACTAAGTTTCATTCTCTTTTTCTGAACTATGTCTCAGGTATGCGAGGGTTTTCACACACAGCACATGTCACCATGTGCAGTGACAACTGCATTGTGTAGGGAAGTCACACAGGGGAGACGGAGTCGGGGAGGTTAGGAAGAGGGACCAGGAGAAAGGGATGGGGCTTTGGCTAGCCCCTGGCTCTATTCCTGCATCCACAGCCAGCAGTGAGGAGATCGGGCAGGTGGCAGGTGCTGCCCAGGTTGGATTGCCACTGAGGATGCCCACCATGTGAGGAAGCCCATCGCCTGTCACCCAGCCCTCCCAGCACCCCCTACCTTGGTTTGGAGTCTCACTTCCCCCCCAACTGTCTGGCCCTCTTACGAGATTATCCCGTTTCCATGACTCCCACTGCCCTGGGGACCCCTGGAGGGTCTGGGCAGCTGTGGATAGTCCCTAAGAGCATAGAAGTATTGTAGATGGCTGGGGCAGCATGCCTATGGCCAGGTGAGGCCAGCTACCTGCCTCATAGATGAGTTAGTGCACTGGTCGGCAAACTCATTAGGCAACAGAGCCAAATATCAACAGGACAATGATTGACATTTCTTTTGAGAGTCAAATTTTTCAAAACTTAAACTTCTTCTAGCGCCACTTCTCCAAAATAGACTGGCCCAGACCATGGTATTTTGTGGAAGAGCCACACTCAAGGGGCCAAAGAGCCGCATGTGGCTCAAGAGCCGCAGTTTGCTGACCACGGAGTTAGAGGAACCACACCTTTCCCAACCCCCGAGCCATTCCAGACTCTGGGGGGTTCTAGAGGCTTCCTCCCCCTTCTTCTGGGGTCAGGCCCATTGGTTCAGCCAAATGAGGCTGTTTCATGATTCCAGGTGGAAGGTTGGCCTCTTTTCATGGACCTCCTCCAGGGAGCCTTCCCTGACTGCTCCTCTCAGAGACCCGGGTCTGGGAGGCTGTACCCCACGCCCATCAGGACTCTGGTTCCTAGGTCACTGGCTGTGTTCTTCCCCACCAGCCTGGGAATCTTCCCAGATCAAGGCCCGGGTCTGCCCCTCCACCTTGGCACCCCTCCCCCCACCTTCCGGCTGGGCATTGCCCAGAGCAGTTCTGTCTGGCAGGTAGGGGCAGTGAAAGCCTGACAGGTGGCCTTGGGGTGGACTTCCTCCTCTGAAACACTGCAAGTTTTCTTCCCCTGTTTTTGCTTCCCTGTTCAGAGATTTCCCCTTCCCAGTCTGAGGTCAGGGCACCATAAACAAAAGTGATAAGGCCTTGGGCCTTCAAACTGAACTTTGCAGCTGCCACTTTATGGCTCTGATAACGTTAGTCTCCCTCTCCCACACCCCCCTCTTCTCCCTCCCCCCCTCCCCCCCACCACTTTGAGTCCGCTGGAGCAGGATTGCCTGATGTCCATTCAGTGCAGAAGCAAGTGGCGTGGGGAGAAGAAGAGGGAACTGGGGCCTCTCCCTCCAGCCTGTCCTCACTCAGTCCTGGCTGAGTCCCTTCTTCTCCCTCTGTGGGCTCAGCCCTGCACTGGGCTGTGGGGGACAGGAGAGGAGACAGACCTCAGCCCTTGATCCCATAGGATGGTCAGAGGAACCCAGGCTGGGAGGTGGGGAGGGAGGGGCTGAAGGGTGGGGTCAGAGATGGGAGGGCTGAGTGGGCTGGAGCAATCAGGGAAGGCTGTCTGGAGGAGGAGGTATAAAGTGAATAAGATGTGGGAAGACAGGGAAGGGGAGGCACTGGAGGAGCCAGACTCGGGCGACTCAGGAGGTGGGGGGCAGATGTGACCTAGCTCCTTAAAACCACTCTTCACCTGGGCTAAGAGGCCTCCAGGGATGGGGGACCAGGTGCCAGTGGTCGTCCCAAGATTCCTGGCCCATCCAAGGAGAAATTGAGTGATCGGAATCCAGGGTTGTAAGAGCCAAAGGGTTGCTGGTGATGTCTGGAGGCTCCGAAATATGGAGGGGCTATCAGTGGTAAGAGAGCTGTGGCTTCCGGTCCTGAACGTGGTAGGGATTTGAGTGCTCAGGAGCTGGGTCTCATGGCTGGCAGTGGGAGGAAGGGAAGCACTTGTCAATGGTCACAGGGTCTGCTCCCAGGACAGGCAATGAGCTCCCCGTCCCCAGGGTGTGCAAGACACCAGTTAGATGAAAACACAGATCCCTGTCCTGAGGGAGGTGACGGTAAGGGAGGTAATCATGGGATAGAAGAGACTAGATCCACATACCCCACCCACCCACCAGCCAACCTGGAGCTGGTGTTGCCTGACCTGGAACCCTGAAACTTGGGGTTCAGGCCCTGCACAAGCAGCAACCCCTGACTCCTCAAGTCCTGGGGGAGGGGAAGAGAGAAAAACCAACCGCAGCCCAGGCCTGATGGGTAGGGGACAGGTGTGGCTCCGGTGTCGTTGGGCCTCACTTTACCCATCGGCAATATGGGCCTGAGTCGCTTGAGTGTCTTGAGTTCTTCCTTGATGTTAGAGGGAGGTGATCCATGTGTCTCCTGCCTCCACTAAGATCAGCCTGGCAGCCTAGGTGAGCCACCCACAGATATGCGAGCACACCCACACATGGGGCACGCTGGCACACATCAGGGGCATACTCATACCCATACCCATACCCAGACCCATGGGGGTGAAGCACAAGTGACAGGAAGAGGGAGACCGCCGCTTGTTGGCTGTTTGCCCCCAGCTCAGCCTTCCCCATGCAAGCGGCTGGTCCTTTCTGGTAAAATCCCCTGGCCCCCCTCAATGCCCGTATGTACCTTCGACCTTTGGCTCCCTGCCTTTCACCTCTGCTAAGCGAGGAGGTACGGGGAACGGTCTGCTGGTCACCCACCTGAGCCCCAAAGCTCCTTCCCAGCCTGGCCTGGGGTCCCCAGCGCTGGATCTGGGCTGAGACGCATTCTTCCACGGAATACACAGCGAACACCCCACAGACACCTCGCCATGGGCACCGCGCACACACAGCCTCCCTCCCACCCACCGTCTACCGGACCGCCCCTGTCAACCGACCACAGCCCCAGCGCTGCACCCCCTGAGCCCCCGCTCCACGCACCCCCGCGGCCACAGCACGGAAGGCGGGTGTGGAGCGCGCTGGCACCCACTGCCCCCCGGCGGCGCCCCAATCGCCGCGCGGAGCGGAGCGGGCTGCGGGCTGTGCGCCCGGCGAGGGACCAGGGGCGCCCGGGACCAAGTCCCTCCGGTCCAGACACGGTCCGAGGCGGCCCCGGGGGGAGGTGAGACCCCGCGCCCCGTGCCCTCCCTCCCCTCACACCGGCGGCCGCACCAGCAGCGCGTCTCCCGCCGCCGCCGCCACCCCGCACCCAGCTGCCAGGCTTCCGGGGGGCCCGGCGGGCACTCACCGCGGGGCGGAGGGCGCAGGCGAGGGCGCCCGCCAGCAGGCACAGCCGGAGGGCCGGCAGCGGGCGCGGCGGGCGCATGGTCCGCCGAGAGCCGTGCCCGGCGGCCCCGCGCCGGCAGCGGGCGGGCGGTGCTCCGCGGTCGACGGCGGGAACCGGGCTGAGTGGCGCTGGCGCGGCCGCCCCGCGCGGAGAGACGCCGCTCGGGGCTGGGGGGCGGGACCCGGGGGCTCGCCTGACGGGCGGCGGCGGCAGCCAATGGGTCGGCAGGGGCGTGGCCGCAGCGCAGGTGTGGGCGGGGCCGGGGGCGCCGGGCGCTGGGGTGTCCCTGGGCTCCCTCCGTCAGTCCCTGGTCTGTGGGCTCAGGCGAGCCTTCGCCCCCGCGGGCTGCGTCCCGGGAGTCTGGAGGCCCGAACGCGCCCCGTTCTTCCCCTGGCTGGCCGCCACGTCCCCTCCGGGCCGGCCCTCGGTCCCGCCCCAGGGCGCTGAGCCCGAGCACCTGCAGAGCCCCCTCCCCGCGGCCTCGCAGGCAGCCTCCCCGTCTCCCTGCTGTGCGCCCCGGAGGGCGGGTGCGGGCGGGCCGGTAGGTCCGCCAGACGGCATCGGGCACCTCTTCTCGCCCAGGCTGCCGGCTGGAGGAGGTGGGGCGCGTGGTTTGCTCCATTTCCAACCAGCCCAACCCACCCCGGCCGGGCTAGGGCCAGCAAGGGCGCCCGGGAGGTCCGACTCCGGGCTCCCCGGTGCCTCCCCGGAGCCCGCTGGGCTCCCTCCGCGCTGGGCACCAGCTGTCGGGCTTCAGGGAAGCCTGCGCGGCCGCGCCCTCGCACCTTTGTGGGGAGAGGGGCACCCCCGGAGGGCGGCTGGGCCTAAGCTCCAGCGCCTCCACGCGGGGAGGGGAGGTCTGCGCCCAGCGCTCCGGCCCAGGCTCCGCGCGCAACCGACCTAAAAGCCGAACCCTCCTCCCTGTCCTCCCTCCCGCCTGCCCGCCCTGTTCTACAGCCCAGGAAACTTGGGTGCAGAGAAAGGTCGGGGCCTGGGCCTCCTGCCTCTGGGACCTCGCTTCCAAGGCCCTGCAGCCCGGCCGCGGGGTGGCTAAAGGCTCGGGGCTCCGTTTGTTTGTGCTCGGAGCGCGTCGTCTTGGGGACCCAGAGCAGGGGACAGCTCTGCCTTCGGAGGAATCGAGATGGCGCAGTCGAGACAGGTGGCGGTCAAGGGGGCAGGTGGATGGTGAATAGATGGGGGGAGGGGGGTGCCAGCGAGTGCGTCAGGGTTCCCCGAGGACCCGCCCAGGCTTCGCTCGGGGACACTCGGACTGCTGACCTTCTGGGGTTGGGATGGAGTTGGGGAGTTGGGGAAGAGCCGGAAGGGATGAGGGCCCTGCCCTTCTCAGTTTCGGTTTATTTGCTTTCTGCTTTCCCTCCCTTTTCTGCCTCCCTCCACCTCCCTCTCTTCCCACTTTCCCCTTCCCTCCCTCGCGCAGGCCTTAATAACCCGCTATGTGCCACTCTGTGCTGTCTGTGCCCGGGAACAAAGGTGGGTGAGGCAGGGGCGCCTCTTGTTGGAGGAGGAGCTGGGGAGCTATGGTACGCCCCATAATTTCCACTTCCTCCCAGATATGATCAGTGAGACTGGGCGTAGGCCCCTCCCCAGGTATGGGAACTGTTCGTGGCCTCTCAGGTTTGGACCCAACCCCTGGGTTAGGGGAGAGGGGACTGCCAGCCACATCTTCCACCATCCCCGCTTCTGGGGGTCGGCTTAGGCTCAGGGGTCAGGGGTCTTTGCTCCCTCTTGCGACCCTAACAACCCCCTTCTCAGGCCTCAGCTCTCAGCAGGACACTGGAGTCATGTCCTCCTCACTCTGGGGAATTGTCTGTGCCAGCGTCCTCCAGTCCCAGATGAATGGCAAATCCATGGGCACTCACAAACCCTTGTCCGCTCTTCACACACACACTCCCCCCCTCCCCACCACCTGCAGAATGCTGAAATCCCACCATCAGTGCTCGCCCCCTGGGCCGAGGAGGCTCTGCTCTCCGAGGACAGGGGTCTGGGTCCTGGAGAGGTGAGGGGTGAGGATGGGGGAAATAACCTCCCGGTGGGGGGTGGGTTGCCTCTGCTTTTGTTCTGGAGGGGAGTCAAGGAACCCTGCCCTTAGCTCGGGATGCCGAGCAGGCTGCAGGCGGGCGCGAGTGAGTGACAGTGAAACCGGACAGCAGATGGGTCCGGGCTGCTGTCACTACTTGAGCCTCTTAAGCAGAGACAAGGTTGAATAATGTATGAGCATTTGTTGCAATAAAGCTGGCAGTGTGGGAGAGCAGTCCTGTCCATCTGCGAAAAGGTCACCTGCGAAAACCTGCTCTACCTCCCCCTGCTCCCCCCTCTCCCCCCCTCCAAAAGTTCGCTGTTTACATTGGTTAGAAGGACAAAGATTACCCAGGGAAGTGGGCAAAGGGGAATAAAAATGGGTATTCCAGGCCAAGGGAAGTAGGCAAAAGGAATAAACATGGTGCAATGGTTACAGACGCCAGGCACTGCAGGCTGGGGGTTGCAAAGGGCGGACTCACTCCACCGTTTGGGCAACAAGGTTGTTAATCCTTTCATGATGATAGTTAGTCCTCGGATAAGGAGCTCGGATCGCATTCCCAGGCTAACTCCCAGGCCCCGGGGTCCAGCTCCCAGCCGGGTCAGAATGTGCCTTCTTTAATCAGAACAACACAATCAGGGGTAATGGAGCATGATGAATATTTCTCATAACTGTAGCTGGTCCCCAGGATGCGATGTCTCCCCCCTGCCCCTAACAGCAGGGCGTCTGGGTGCCCACGCTGTTCCCGGCTCCCAGGAAGGAAGTGGGGGCCGAGGGGGACTATTATCCTGCAGATCCTTTGCAGTGAAAATGACTTCTTTGTTCTGTCTGAGGGAGACCCGCCCTTCCTTACCTATCAAAAGGCACTAACACAAAATCAGAAGAGAGAGAGAGAGAGAGAGAGAGAGAGAGAGAGAGAGAGAGAGAGAAAGCAAAAACAAATAAACCCCTAAAAAATTCAACCAAGGCTCCAGGCACTGCGCTTCCACGGATTGCTGCCGAATGCCCAGTCCTGTGTCCTGGGCCCCAGGGGGATCAGCCGTGGCCGCTCTGGAGGAGGCCATGGGGATCTGTTGAGGAGAAGCTAGCCAAGCGATTCATCTGTCAGGGGGGCTGGGGAGGCCTCTGGGTGGCAGAGGGGCTTCCGAATCCACAGGTGGGTGGGAGGCAGTGACTGGGATCTCTGTTCCCATCCCCCCTGAACCCTCTGGCTTGGGGAGGGGCAGAACCACGCCCTGCTCTCTGTTCCCCCCATGCCCTCCTGCGTGGGCTCCTTCCGGAAACATGCTGTTCTGAGGCCTCTCCTCCTGGATCCCTGGAGCCGGTCCCCAGGCTCGGCCCCACCCCCACCGCCACCTTGCTTGGGGACTTGAGAACGGCGTGGGTGCAGAGGTGGAGGGGAAGAGAGAGGCAGTCACTCGCCATCCTTCCTGACATGAGTACAGGCATGACAAGCGAGGCAGGAAAGGCCTGTAGTTACTCACCGGGAGCCTGCCTGGCTTCCGGGCTGCCTGCCTCCCCCCTGCAGGGGGCCACCCTTGCCTCCCCCAGTCCTTCACGCATCCCTGAGTCATCGCGCTCTCTTCCCTGGCTCCCAGCTCAGGAGCTCAGTGGCAGCTGCCAGCTTCTGCTGCGGAGTGGGGCGGGCAGCTGGGGGCCACACACATGGCTGTGCGGGTGCAGATAAGCTGCGCACTCCAGGCCTTTGAGTTGAAGGGACCTGCACCTTCAGGTCTTTATCCCTCTCCTGGGGCTGGCAGCTCCAGGACACGACCTGCTCACCGCTTCCCCTTCTTTGGGGCCAGTTCTTCCTGTGAGGAGACACATCTTAGCTCCAAGCTTAAGGCCAAGATTGGGTGGAGGGCAGGAGAGGCCCAGGTAGGTGTTTCCAGAAGAAAAGTTCTGTCCATCCCTCTGGACCGGCACGCAGTGGGTAGCATTCCTTCATTCTTCACTTACACTGCCAGGCCTGGTGAGGGGCACTGGAGATGGCACGGTGACTTAGACATGGGCTGCCCCTCCAGAGGAGCCAAGCTCAAGACTGCTTGAGTGGGCACTGGGCCGGGTGGGGGGCAGGGCGGTGGGCAAGCTTCTGGTGCTGTATGAGAAGAGGAGGAGTGGAAAGCTCCTGCTCCAGGGGCAGAGGAAGAGGGGACTTGGCTCCTACGCTTGGGGAGCTCCTATTCTGATTAAAGAAGGCACATTTTGACACTTGAGAAGGAACTCCTTTCCGCAGCATCCAGGGCTCAGTTCCATCCTGGGGGTTGGAAGTCTGTCCTCATAAAGCTTGGCACGAAGGTCATGGTGCAGCGAGACTGGGACACTCCAGAGGGGAGGACCATGTATGCTCCAGCAGCCACAGTTTCTTGGTCTAGTGTCTACTACATGCGTGTGTGTGTGTGTGTGTGTGTGTGTGTGTGTGTGTGCGCGTGCATGCACATGCACGCCTGTGTAGGAAAGCGTGTGGGGTATGTATCCTTGTGTGTGGGCATGAGTCAGAAGAGAACTATCTGATCCCAGCTGGGGTCTGAGAGCAGGGCTTGGCCAATGTGTGTTGGGAGGAGGAAGAGGAGCTAGGGCAGATTCTAGGTAACTAGGGTGCAGAGAGAGGCTGTGTCTCAGAGAGGGTGCAGGGACCACAGGCAACACCAGGCCACCTCTCAGAACTCATTCCTGGGGCTGGGGTGCCCTGGGGGTTGTGAGGCACTTTCTGCCCCAGGGAGAGCTCAGAGAAATGCCACAGGAGGTCTGAGCGCATGTGCTCACCACCCCAGCTTCCAGCCCTGGTCCCTGGGAGTCGCTGTGTAGCCGATGTTGGGCAGAGAGAGTAGGAGAGGAAGGTAATGGAACAAAACAGACATGGAGTTTAAGCGACATAACTGATGTCACCAGAGATTGGCGTGGTGTGTTAAAATTTAAGGCTATCAACTGAAAAAATTCTGGAAGTCTCTGTGTAACTTCCATACGCAAGGAGAAGGAAAAAAAGAAAACACCACCAATT